GCATAGTACGATAGAGAGTGGTAAGTACCAAGGAGAACAAATACACCTAGCAGTGAGGTAGCTATGAACTGTTTGGGTGCAGCGTTGCAATTTCAGATCCAGTGGCCAGAGGGTGTCACTGAGCATATGACTTGTGGTAAAGAGCTGGCAGAAAGACATTCCAAGCACCAGCAAACAAAGGCAAAGGCTCTAAGACTGGAGAAACAGCAAAAAAGGTCACTGTGGCTGGAGGAGAGAGAGAACAAGGCAGAGAGCGGGTAAGGGAGGGAGGGCTGTAGCCTCATCATTTAAGACTGTCAAGTCATAGTAAACGCTTTGGGTTTTATCCTGAGGTGAGAGGACATTGGAGGATTTTAAGCAAAGGAGTAACATTGTCTGATCCACGTATTACCAATATAGTCTGCTGGTTTATTGAGATTAGATTTCTAGGAGAGTTGGGCAGAAGTAAGTCTACTAGTTAGGAGACTGTTACAATAATCCAGATAAAGATGATGGTAGCTTGGACCAGGATAGCAGCTATAGGGGTGGTGAAAGTCTGCATGAATTTTGTGGGAAGAGATGATAAGAATTGCTGACAGATAGGATGTAGAATGTGGAAGCAAGACAGGAGTCAAGAATGGCTCCAGGGTTTTTTGTCCTGAGCTACGAGAAAAATGTAGTAACTACTACAGATGGGGAAGGTGTCAGGAAGAGACCTTTCAGGAAGGAACATCAGACTCTCAGTTTGGGATATGTTTTAGTTGATGATGCCTATTAAGCTCTCAAGTACGTATGTAAAATAGGCAGTCTTAGGTGTTGGTCTGGAGCAGGAAGGGGTCTGGTCTGGAGATTGAGATTTAGGAGTCATTCCGTGGCCTGAAAGAGAGAGCGCTAGTGTAGATGTGAAATACAGGAGGTGCCAGGACCAAGCTGTGAGGTGTGGGGTCAGGAGATGAGAAGTATCCAAGCAAAGAGAATGAGAAGGAGCAACCAGAAATTCAGAAGCAAAATCAGACAAGTATGATATGTTGGAAGCCAAGAGCAGGGGGAGGGAGTAGTCAATGGTGTTCATGTCTGTATTAGGTAATGTAAGTTAGGATTGAATGATGACCATTATATGTGGCCACATGGGGGTCA